GTGGGTAGCGCTGCTAGGAGAGCAAGGCAACTCCTGCTGCAAGATTTTGAATTTGGTGGCTGCAGGTAACCGATGACGTGGAGGATCTCGACCTCGGCATGGACAAGAAGAAGAAGAAGACCAAGAAGCCTAAGGATGATGAGGAAGATGGAGCGAAGAGTGGCGCTGGTGGGGAAAACACTGCATCCTCCCTCCCTCCCTCCCTCCCCTCCCTCCCTCCCCCACTCCCTCCCTCCCTCCCTCCCTCCCTCCCTCCCTCCTCTTCATCTTTTCCTACCTCCCGTGGTTCTGTTTACCTGTCTGAACCCGTGGGTCAGTCTCGGACCCCAAGGACAAGGGCCCCAACGACATCTACCCCTATGCCGAGATCCTTCAGCGAGTGTACGACGCCATCTCAGAGAAGAACCCCGAGCTGATGGGCGGAAAGAAATTCACCATGATCCCTCCTCAGGTATGAAGAATAGCGCAGAGGAGGGAGGGAGGGAGGGAGGGAGGGAGGGAGGGAGGGAGGGAGGAGACGCAGACGGGGAGGGGAGCTTGAAAGAGGGATAGGAGGGGAGGGAGATGGGCAGATGACGGGGCGTGTTCAGGTGGCTCGTGAAGGCTCGAAGAAGACTGTATTTGTCAACTTCAAGGAGATGGCAAAGAAGATGCACAGGACCATGGAGCATGTCATGTCCTACTTCAACGCTGAGTTGGGCGTGCCCTGCTCGCTTGACCCCGAAGGCAAGCTGACCTTCAAGGGTCGCTTCACGCCCAAGCAGATCGAGTCGGTAGTCAGGAAGTACATGCTTGCCTACGTGCAGTGCCAGATGTGCAAGAACTACGACTCCCAGTAAGAGAGAAGAGAGCGAGGAGGTGGGGAGGGATTAAAGTGACATTTATGGCAGGCTCGTGAAGGACAGCATGACACGTCTGACGTTCCTCGAGTGCAACCGCTGTGGGGTAAGAGGGGGAGGAGGAGGAGGCAGAAGGGAAGGGATGGAGAGGGGCATCAGATGCAGGAGGAGGAGAGCGGGAGACTGACGAGTGAGCAGGCGAGAATGTCTGTGCAGAACGTGGAGAAAGGCTTCCATGCTACTAACAGGTGCGATGAAAAGGGAGGAGGAGGAGGTGGTGGTGGTGGTGGTTGTGGTGGTTCAGGACGTGGTCTGATTGTTGAACGCGTAGGGCGGATCGTAAGGCTGCAAAGAACGCATAAGCTCTCAACCAGCCAGCTTATCTCGCAAGCTCAGGAAGAAGGAGGAGGAAGGAGAAGACTGAGTTTGTGTTCCCCTGTATTTTCCACAATATCATCACTGCCAATCGCTTTCTGCGTGCGACTTGAGTATGCCTGACACTCTTACACATCGAAATGTCTGTCTTGCCATCGCTGACCCGCCCTCTCACCTCCTCCTGCTCCACCATCACCTCCTGCTCCTCCTGCTCCTGCTCCTCCTCCTCCTCCTCCTCCTCCTCCTCCTCCTCTGCCTCCACCTTGTAACTGGATAGTAGACAATTCGATGCTTCTGCTATTGGACAGGAGCAGAGGAGCTGCTTCAATCCTTTGCTGCGCTTGACGTTGTTTCTCTTCTCTTGCTCGATCGGATAGACGTGTTGCTGGAGGAGCTGCTGGAGGAGAGCTGTGGGGAGTCACTTTCAGCTTCTCTTCCTTCCTCGCCTCCTCGCCGGTGGAACTTCGCCTGTTCTCAAACCTTCTGCTCTCACCGTTCTCCTTGATCTTCTCTTCCCTCCTCCCCCCGGCGATCCCTAGAGCTGCTTCCATGCGCTCCATCCGACTAGAGATGTCCTGCAGGAGGTGGAGGACGTCGGGAGTGGGGCAGGAGGAGGAAGGAGGAGCAGGGGCGATCTTGTCTCTTGCGAGGATCCACTTGAGGACGGAGAGGGTCGCCTGCTTGTAGCTCTCGCTGTTGAGCTGCGCGCGGTTGAGGTTGCGGAGGGCGAAGAGCTCGAGCTGCTCGAGCATGAGGCTCTCGAACTCCTGCAGGTTGATCTCCTCCTCCTCCTCCTTCCCGTGCCGCCTCGTCAGCTCCTCCCAGTCCTCTTGCGTGAAGTAGAGGCCGCGGAGGAGGAGGGCGAGACCATCCTGCATCTCCTTGAAGGTGATGGCGCCTGACATGTCGCGGTCCAGGCGGTTGTAGAGGGCGGCGATGATGGAGCGAAGGTGCTCGGAGGAACGAAAGTCAGACAGAAACTCGCAAAGAGGATCGAGGAAGTGAGTCTCGTAGAGAGGAGAATGCTCGGCCTCCTTCCTGGCATCGGCCTCCCGTACCTGCCGCAGGCGTCACGCGAAATTGGGGAGGTTGCGAGGGAAGGGAAGTCGACGAGGAGAGAGAAGAGAGAAGGAAGGGGGGAGGAGAGGGAGAGAAGGTGAGATAGGGAGGGGAGGAGGTGGAAGAGAAGGAAAAGAGGACAAGGAGGAGGACAAGGAGGAGGACAAGGAGGAGTAGGAGAAGGAAGAGAAGGAGGAGAAGGAGAAGGAAGAGGATCAGGAGGGAAAGAATTCGCGGGGACTGACGTTTGTCATGGTGGTGAGAAATTCGTCGAGGAGGACGGCTACGACGATGTTGATGAGGACAATACTCGAGAGAACGATGTAGGAGACGAAGAAAACAGCGACGACCGCGCGCTGGTGCGAAAGGAGAGGACGAGCGATGGATTCAGCCCAAGAGTCTCCCGTGCAGACCTGGGAGAAGCGAGCCATGAGGATGAGAAAAGTGGCAGGAGAGGCAGCGGGATATGCAGGAGGAGGAGCAGGAGGCAAGGAGAACGAGGAGAGGAGGATATGCAAGAGGTGTAAGAGGTGTAGGAGGAGGAGGAGGAGGAGGAGGAGGAGGTCGGCGACTACCTGGAACATGGTGAAAAGGGCAGATGAGAACTTGCCGAAGTGCTGGTCGTCAACAGGGCCGAAGAGATTCACCGCTAGCGTAGCTGAATATGCTCAGGTCAGGCAGCCAATGGCGAGGGAGGGAGGGAGGGAGGGAGGGAGGGAGGGAGGAGAAGGAGGGACCACCGTAGATGCAGGTGACGAGTCCTAGGAGGAGGAAGCTGTTGGCAACTGGGATGGTGGAGGCGATGGTGGCTTCTACGATGGCGCGGAGGGAGCGGAAGGACTTGAGTACCTTGACGGCCCTGAGGATGCGGATGATGCGGAGGGGATAGAGAGCAGGGACGCTGTCAGCGAAGGTGCCGAACCAGCTGCCAATAACGACGAGGAGGTCGAAGACGTGCCAGGGGTCTTGGAAGAATTCGGAGAAGAGGAAGGCGGCGAGGGAGACGAGGAGCTCGGCGGTGAAGAGGACTGTGAAGACGAGGTCCATGGCGGTGAAGAAGATGTTAAGGATGCTGCCGGGCTCCGGGTTGAGCTCAGCGGCAGCGACGGCGAGGATGAAGCTGAGGAGGATGACGAAAGCGAAGAGCAGCTGGAACGTCTTGTTGTTCGCCAGCCTCTTCGCTCCTGTCTTGACCTTCTGATGCCACCAGGTCCTCCCTCTCCTCTCCTCTAACTCCTTGGCCTTGCTCACTACTCCCTTCAATTTCTGCACGAGCTGCTGGCACTTGATCTCATCCTCCATTCGGAAGCGATACTGAGAAAACTGTTACACTCCTCCTCCTCCCCACCCCTTCCTCCTCCTCCTCCTCCTCCTCCTCCTCCTCCTTCTCCCTTCTCCTCGTCCTCGTCCTCGTCCTCGTCCTTGTCCTTGTCCTTGTCCTTGTCCTTGTCCTTGTCCTTGTCCTTTTTCTCCTCCTCGCCTTTCTCCAAGCAACGTTTCCTCCTCTCACCTTTCTCCCCGAGTTGTATCCCTCGGGCACAGTCTTGATATCCAGCATCGCGGACTTCTCTCGCATCTGCCCGCCCTCTCCCTGAGCCAACTCCAGCTCTTGCAAGTTGTTGGTGCGCAAGGAAGTGAGGGAGGAGAGCACCGGCCGTTCTCCTGCCTTGATCTCCCCCTTGTCCTTTGAGTTGCTTACCACGTCTGCGATCTCATGTAAAGGAATCCGATCAATCTCATGCTCCCCGTGCGGCCTCGCGAGGATCAGGAGCTCCGCCGTTCCCACGCACAGAACCTCTCGCCAAACAGGATTGCCCCTGTGCAGAAAGCTCGTCACTGTCACCCCTCTTCATCTCCTTCTCACATCCTCCCTCTCCTCCTCCTCCTCCTCTTTCCCACTCACCCGTATGAAACCTCTTTCTCCGCGATGACCTCAAACAACCGATCTGACTTGGGAGGGAGAGGATTGATGAGATCGTCATCCTCCCTCCTCGCTGTTGCATTCCGATGTCGGTTCAACACGATCGCCGCCATCCTCCTCACTGCTGTGATGCTTATCACTCCTCCTCTGCGACTGTTGGACCCAACTGCGACAGAGCAACACAGATCTCAGATTTCCAACGCAATTTCCTCTCCTCCCCTCCTCTGTTTGATCCTCAGCATGAATTTTCTTCTTTTCTTCTTTTCTCTCCTTTTTTTCCCCTGCCGTTCCTCCCCCATTCGCTTCTGGACTTCCCTGCCACCCCCGCCCCCCGCCCCCCGCACACTCGCTCACGCTCCCCCTCGCGCCCTCTCTCTCTCTCTCTCTCTCTCTCTCTCTCTCTCTCTCTCTCT